CAGCCGACTGGCTTACTTAAAATCGAAATGATAAATTAGATGTTTATCTTTATGAAAAATAAAATATCTGGAGTGAATCTAATATTAAAGTTTTAAAAAAATCGATCGAACCGTTTCTGGGAAATCATGGAAGCTAGTTTAAAAAATGTAGTTTCGCGAAAAACACGTTTGAACGCGTGTGTAGGCGACGCGCTAAGGCCTTACTATCTCACTCCTATAACTTTCCAACAACATTTAATTTCTGAAAATTACTTAACCAGCACATTCTAAAGATGCTCTAGATTGGACTTATGCAAAACAAACAAACGACGTTTAGAAATTCTCACACGGGTTGACCCCTTTAGCTCATGCAATTGCATTATAAACGTATGCTCTTGATTTTTTAATTTTTAAGATTTCTACTGTTAGGAACAAACTCTTGCTATTTCCACTGAAGTATGATATGTAAATCATAAAATTTATGCAGCGAAAGTTTCTTAAACTAGAATAAAACAATTAGTATAATATAATAATATATTACGAATCCAAATTACTAATTACTATCTGTATTTAGCATTATAAGTATAACAGGTCAAGAAGAATGTCCCCGGATGTTTTTCGGCGATTTCGTCCTTCAACCGTCTTATAACGCTTTGTAATTTTCGCTGGTCCTTCTTTTTTCAAGATAGTCGATAAAAATTATTCAATGACTGACGCGTTTCCACGCTTGGGAGCGGGTTCATCAAATGCAGTCCAGTCGCATGACTGTTGATTGGACTTCGGAGTGAAATAATGGAACCATGTTTTATCCATTGTTACATATCGACTCAAAAAATTGGTTTATTATGCTTGAAAATCTCCAAACACTCCGATTCATCAACTCGTCGTTGTTTTCGGTCAAAAGTGAGCTCGCGTGGCTTAATTTTTACGTAAAGGAAAAATTACACAAAAGATGTATTTTCGAGCTGCTCTGAGATGTGCTCTCTTTATTAATATCCTTAAGACTGACCTGTTACAACGATCTTATGCCATTTATACTAAACACAAAAATTATAAATGTTTTACCAGCACATAGTTTGTTTACATAAACATACATACTTAAAATATTGTTTGTTTAGGTTTATTTACATATAAGTAATTGTATACAATGATTGTTCTAGGATGAGGTTGTCTTGATGTTTGTCAAATATTTTGGTGTTATAATTAATACGTTCCTTAACTCGCGGCACACACTTTGCACATAGCTTTGTCGCGCTCAAATCTTCGTGGTATGTCTAAACTTAGCATACCAGTCTTTGATTTTCCTGCAGCAGTATCCGGAAACTCGTCAGCCAAGTTTTTGCTTCAAATGCATTTTTTCTCTTCAAAACGCAATATTTTATCAACAGGCGATCCTTTTTATCCATATTTTTCACAATAACAAAAATTACTTTAATCAAAATGACATAGTTCACAAATAATGATCCGATGTTATACCATGTTCAGACCGACACTTAATCACAGATTTCGGTTGTTGAGTGGTTTATCCCACTAATCTTATAAATTTATCAAGATTTCGCCATATAAAAATTACAGTTCAAAATCACTTCATCGAAGTGATTTGAAACCAATCCGCGCTAAATCCCTCTGATTTTGCGCCATCTGCTTGTCAGCATTGGAAACAATTTTTTTTAAAGCAATGAATCTAATTTCGCCTGAAAATCGACTTCCCAAATGAAAAAATGGGTCCATTATTTTCATTATATGGAAAATATTTAAAATAATATGGCTTTTATTACAAATACTATATTATAATGTTTTCTTTCGATAAATATTAAGCGATGTGAATTCTTGAATGGCAAAAACAGCTGTTTTTATCTTTCCAATGTCAGTGAGAAGGGGTGATTATTGAAGGGCTTAAATGTAATCTAACTAAAAATCATATGAATTTAATTCTTCTAGCACCATCTACGCGTAAGGCCGAGGACTTGTAAGGGATTAGATTACATTTAAGAACTTCACTAATCAAACCGTTCTCACTGCCATTGGAAAGATGAAAGAAAAGCTGTTTTTGCCGTTAAAAAATTCACATTGCCTAATATTTATCAAAAGAAAACATTATCATATAGTATTTTGAAATAAAAGCCGTCTTCTTTTTAATATTTTCCATATAATGGGAATAATGGACGAGAGAAACGTTGCAAGCGCAAGGCTCTATTTTGAAAGCAAGAATCTGCTACAAATGCTTGTAATTGTATAGGAAGTGTAAACTTATGGCAACATAACGGTTATGCCTTATATTCACAAATATGTTATAGCATGTGTGTTTTATGCATTTATGTGTGGAACACAATGCTAGCGACAGACTGCAGCAGCACGACAGTGAACTGAAAATGGCGTTGTGAATCCTACTACAAGAACGTTTGTGAGAGGTCAGCAACATAACAATGGCCGGCATGTACACAAAACAACGCAGTTGTCCATTTTGCATGTACACAATTTCGTTGTGGCCATATTAATACCTTGCACTTCAATGAAATTTTAATATTTTGTTCAAAGTGAAATTTTTAAGCAAAAAATAAGTAAATAGGTAAATTTATTCGTTTCAAATTATCAATTGTTATCATAAATGATGTAACAGAGCTATTTAATGCTTTTATTTCTAAAATAACGTCAGTTTTGTTAAAGCTGTGAATAATTCTACATTTTACATATTAGTGGCATCAAAACTCTACGTCATCTCTCTATCTTCCATTCTACTGTCAACTCTACTGTCGTTGGCAAATATAGGATCAAATTGAAGTTAGCGAAAACGAAAACTGACGGTCTGCAGTCGTGTAGTCGTGCAGCTGTCAAAATAGGTCCGTCCATAAGAACGTGTGTACTTCAATATTTGACAGATGTCGTTTGCAGTCTGTCGCGAGCATTGTATTCCACACATTACTATATAATCATTATCGCACAATCTGTTGTTCGTAATTCTTTCTCATGGACATCAAATTTTTTGGTGATGTACATATTTGTAGTATATACAGATACTGTACTTCATTTTCACCCGAAATTTTTTTCTCCGCGCTATCCGAAAATTTAATATTTTATAAAAAAGAAATAGAAATCGAATTGAAAAATTTCTATATTGTTATAACGTAAGTTTTACCTGGCGGCATAATATTTTATAAAGTATCAGATTTACAGGTAGCATAGAGAAAAAACATATGGCCCAAGGTTATTGCAAAACCAAGCACATTTTTCTGAATTTTTTATGACGAAACAATTCATAGTTTTTATTTAAAAAAAATGGTGCATTAAAGTATGTATGCATACTGTTGTATAAAATTTAATGAAGAAATATTAAAAGCGAAAAAGCCCTAACTTCGGTTGCACCGTCGCTATCTATAATACGAGTACCATTCACAAATAAAAAAAGTTTGCAGCTAATATAATATAGTCCTATGATCCGAATAATTACAGCATTACATTGAACCATCCAGCTGGGGAGAAGTCAACTTATTCACTGAAAATCCACAATGAAAAGACCGCACGGCAAACATAAATCCCATAGTTTTTCAAAATACCAAAACCAAAAAATAGTGATAGTGAATCTTAATGTTTAATAGCAAAGTAGAAATAAAAAAACATTTGAGAACAGAGAGTACTGTTCAGCTATATTTCTAGCCGTAGCTCAGACATTTGATAAGATATGACATGAAGGCCTTTTATAAAAGGTTAAAAATTTCTACTTTTACAATTGCATAAAACATTGGAGACTTATTTAAAAAGAGACAATTTATGGTTAAAGTAGGTGATTTCATATCTAATGAACGACAGATAAGGGCTGGTGTACCACAGGGCAGTATTAGACCCAACTCATACATCAGCATCTTACATTTTCGCTAAGACCAAAAATGTGCCCGGCAGTAAAACAGTATTTAGTACCTTAAGCGAACGAAGTAACTTACCTTGATATTAACCTATATAAACCATGTCTCTTGTAAAATA